GCTAGGGTCTGGAACCAACTTCCAAGGGAGGTGGTGCAGGCTCCTACCCTGGGGGTTTTTAAGAAGAGGTTAGATGAACACCTTGCTGGGGTTGTTTGACCCTAGTACTCTTTCCTGCCATGGCAGGGGGTTGGACTAGATGATCTACTCAGGTCCCTTCCAACCCTAGAAACTATGAAACTATAAAATTTATGCAAGTAAACAATGTAGTAGTTTCCATTACTCTTCACCAATTTCCTTAAGGTGTTTTGATGCATTTCAATCTATTGTTGTGGTTTGGGGTTTTTCTTCCCTCTTTCTTTTTTAGTAGCATTAGAATCAGACTTATTAAAATAGAACAGGAGTATTGAGGCTTACTGTTTCTTGAATAGTGGTTCACAATAAAGTTATGAAAAGCTAGAGTGTTCTTGTTTGTTTTTTCATTTTTAAAGAACACTTTCTGTTGAATCATAAAATCCTGTGTCTTGTAAGATCTATTTGGATTCACAAAATCTCATTTGGAACAGTTTCATATATTTATCCAAAACAATGTCTGCATCATATCCAGTTGACCAGAATGACTGTAAAGAAGAGATTCTAATCTAGGAAGTGTTTCTTCTGACATGTTTGCTATTGTCTTGACCAATATTGTACTAAATCACGATAAATTACTTCTGAAATATAGAAGATGATGCCAGTTTCAAGAAACATTATTCATTTGCCAAGAACTCAACCTTTGTGCTTGTGTGTGCAAGCTAGTATTTTCTGTAGGAACACGATTGGTTTACTTGGGGATAAATTATTTGCATCTAAAATTAGAGCCTCTCCATCTTAAATATGAGTTTAACAAAAATGGTATAATAGTTTAGTTACAGTTTTTAGTAAAAGAATACACAGTGTATATATAATGAAATAACCTTATTGTATGCTTCAGCATACATTATATAATGTTATCTGTTTTACCAGTTTACACAAAATTTAAACACATAGGTGACTTGTCCTCTATTTATTACCTCCCTGCCATCCACCATGATTGGTTTAGAGACTCCAGAAGAAACATCCCTAGCCATTCTGTTCAGCAGCTGTTAGATCTGTCATCTGTGAATTAGTGTAGTCCTTTTTTTTTTTTTTTTAACCTGGCTATGTTATCTGCCTCTGCCACCATCTAATGTGGCAATGTATTTCACAAGGTAATTATTCATAGCACAAAAAAGTACTTTCTCTTGTTAGTTTTAAACTTGCCTAATCTCAGTGGGTGACCCCCAGTTCTAGTATTCTGGGACTTGGTGAATAACTTCCCTGTTCACTTTATCTGTACCTCATGATTTTATATAGATGTCTCTTTTCTCACCACCCACTCTTTTAGCTTTCTTCTTTCAAAACTGAGGAGTCCTAGCCTTTTTACTTTTGCTTGGTATGGCAGCTGCTCAATATCCATAATCATTGTGGTCACCCTTCTCTGTATCTTTTGTTATTCTGCTACATCCTTTTTGAAGTGTAGGGACCAGAACAGCACTTGGTATTCAAGATGTGGCTTGCCATGGATTTTTGTGTAATGGCATGATGATATTCTCGGTTTTGTTTTCAGCTACCTTTTAATGACGCCCAACATTTTACTGGGTGTTTGATTACTGCTTCACATTGAACTGACATTTTTAGAGCTATGTACAGTGACTCCATAGTCTTTTTCCTGAGTTGTAATAGCTAGTTCAGAATACAGCATTGTATACCTAATAGCTCAGTTTTTTTTTCCCTCCATGTGCATTACCTTGCACTTGTTGATATTTGAAGTTCATCTGCCTCTTCATTTTACTCACTCAATTTTTGGTAAAATCTTTCTGCAGCTCCTCTGTTTGGGATTTGACTGCCCTGAATAATTTGGTATCATCTGCAGCCTTGGAGATTTCACTGAGCACCATCATTTCCATATCATTGATGAAAATGTTGAATAAAATTAGGTCTTCCACAGATACTTGCAGAACTTCTTCACTTTTGACTTCCTTCCATCCTGGAGAGACAGCACTTAGTCCTATCCTTTGCTTTCTGTCTTTTAACCAGCACTCAACCTATAAAAGAACCTTCCCTCAAATTCTGTGGCTACACGGTGTTTTGTTTTTTCAAAAGCTTTTGAATGACCTTGTCAAAAACTTTAGTAAACCAAATATATTATGTCAATTTGATCTTTCTGGATCTTCCTACATGCTTGTTAACATTGTCAGAGTACCCCAGCTTATTGGTGAGACAGAATTTCCCATTACAAAAAACTGCTGACTCCTTCCCCAGCAGATCATATTTGTCCATGTGACTGCTGATTTATTCTTTATTATAGATTCCACCCAATTGCCAGGGATGGAGGTGAGACTTCCTGGTGTGTAGTTCCCAGGATTACCTGCAGAGTCCTTTATAAAGATGGGTGTTATGTTGGCAAGCTCCCAATCTTCTGGCACGGAGGCTATTTGAAATGATAGGTGCTACTGTATAATATTGCCAGTGGTTCTGCAGTTTTACCTTTTGAGTTCCTTCAGATCTCTCAGGTGAATGCCATCTAGGCCTGGTGACTTATTAGTATTTAATATTTCGATTTGTTCTAAAACTTCTTAAAATGGAACATAGGCAGACAAGGTTCTTTGGGTAAATCCGATATCTTTTATTGGTCTAATAAAAGATATTGGATTGACCCAAAGAACTATGTCTGCCTTAGATGAACACTGCTACAACCAACATCTATAAAACAGAAAATGGCGTATATTAAAACAGAACATAGTATATGGTGATATAAAAATGAAATTAAGCTTTTCTTTAAATGCAAAAAAAATAAATGTCATCTAACCGGAGTCTTCTCCAACTTTAAAATTTGTTTTTTCACAGTGAAATTACATTCCCAAAGGCTCATAATTTTTTATGAAATTTTATGAACATATTTATTATGGCCACGTAGCTATGCCACTTTGCTATTATTACTAATATATATATATATATAATATCAAAGTATATTTTTATTTAGTAAACTGAATTATATATCCTAGGTATAATAGTAAACTGTTGCATATGCCAAAACACTTGCTCAGGTCTTAAATTTCTTAGCAGTGTAAAGGAATTTATATTAATTACCTTTTTACTTTTTGTCTTTTAACAGAACAAAACACCCTTAGTAAATGAAAGCTTGAAAAAGTTTTTAAGTACAAAAGATGGTAAGTTTTGTTTATTAAGTTTAAGTTTTACACCTCTCAAATATTTAATGTTCTCAAAAACATGTTTGAGGAATAGGAAGTTGAATCTGTTCTTGTTCTAATATTAACTTGATGCTTGTTTTATAGTGTCAATTCCTGTTAAGGAGAAGTTAGTGCTACCATTGGCAAGCTCTTGATCTTGAGTTTTCAAAGCTAATATATGGTGATTTGTTGTGTTTGTAATTGGGATGAACAGTTTTTCTTTAGAGATGAGTAAAGTATTTGAATTTAATTGCTTGGAAAACAAATCAACAAATGACAAAATAATTCCAATTCAGTCAAGCCTTTCCAGGGCAGGAAAATGACAGCCTGAAATTGTGAAATTAAAGTGCAAATGTACAGTGCTAAAAGTATGAATGGGAGATGTTCCATGATTCTTAGGGCCTGAGTCTTGGAAGCTGCCTCAACTGTTGCTCAAGCAGTTCTTTGGAGAAAATGGTCTGATTTAGATATGTTGTTTATTCGAACTGAAACTTTATATATTCAAATGTTGACATCACTGGTATAAAATACAAATCTGTGTTGAGGATCTCTTAGTTTGTATAGGATACAGGATCATTAACTTTAGATGAACATTTTGGATAACTTTTTCTGTTTTTCTTTATAGGTCGTGTGGTAGCCGGTCTTGTTGTAGAATTTCTTCAGTTTTTCAATCTTGACTTTACGTTAGCTGTTTTTGAGCCTGAATCAAGCACAGTAAGGAAGATACTATTCTTAATCACATGCTAGACTGGTAGATAGAACTTGAAATAAAAAAAAATACAAAATCTGCATTGGATTTGTCTAAAACATCCATTCATGTTCATAAGGTAACTTTTTTTATAGGATCTTTTATTGAGCTACCTGTTAGTTCACACTAGCCCTAGTTCAGCACTGGAAAAGATCAGGCTTATGTGATTGGTGGCTTTTTTTTTTTTTAAGGAAAGTTGACTCAGCTGAAAATTTAATGCTTTGCCAGTTCTCTTGTCTCTTTGTATGTCACTTCAAAATAATGACAATTTTAATAAGTTTTGTCTGAGCTGTGTGTGTTCACTAGAATATAGGGCTTATCTAGGTCAGATTTTACAAATTGGTTTATTTATCACGTGTCTGTCAATTTGTGCTGTTCAGGCTATTCTGTTCCAACTTAAACATTATCATTTATGTTAGAAACATTCAAGTGACATGTATTTTATATATAACTCTTTCAGCTAAATGGACTTGACAGTCGTGAGAATTTAGCCAGAGACTTGGGAATTATAGAAGCAGAAGGTACTGTAGGTGGCCCATTATTGTTGGAGGTGATTAGAAGATGTCATCAGAAAAAGGGTTCCAGCAGTGCTGAAGTAAGTATTGTTAAGATGTATAATGCTTTTTTCCCATTTTAATTCTTTAAGGATAAACTATTTGAACAGATTACAGTGGATGAGGAACCTTTCTCCAAAGTTACTATCTGTGCAGAATTTTCACTCTTGAATCTTAGCTTTTTGGTGTTTGTTTTGGTGGATCTTCAGTAGTTCTTAAAATTGAATAATTGACAAACAACATGCATTTAAAATCTCGCTTAGTATGATCTAAGCGAGTTGTCTAATAGCATCAAAAAACAAAACAGGAAGCAGTGTATTAGACCTCTTCTGCCATGCATTAGATTCTCACTGTACACTACAAGTATTTTCCTACTGGTTATTAAAATAGAGTCCATGTGTGCTGCACAGCTAGGTAGCTATTGAGTAGGTAGTGACTACTAAGAATGTGCAGATACCAAGATGACATGCTTTTTAGGATAAAAAGTCATCTGGCAGATGTGATTTTTGATATCTAGTGAATATATCTTGACGGCCAAGATAGTGAATTCAGAGCCTATTGGCTGATAATCAATATGGAATAAGTATTGCTATGTGTGGCATGAGCCAAAACCTCCAGGATAAAGCAATGTAAAATGATTAACAGAGTCAAATGACTCAACTTTAAAATAAAAACAAATTACAAGGACTAAACTATCCATATACATGTTTAAACTGAGTGGTGCAAGTGAGAGTCCCACTAGATGGCCTCTTTAGAGAAGCAGAATTATATGGAAGTAATTTGTCATTATTTGCATCCCATCCCAGATCCTTGCTCTTATGTAATAAACTGCTTAAGGGCTGTCAGAAAAGGGGGGTGGGGATGAATTGCATTGAGCATCAGTAAGAAAGCCACTGCAAACAATGTACAGACAAATGCACACGTAATATGTTTAGCACTTATACCAGTACCTCAATAAGCACAGTATATGTTTGCAACTCTTGACCGCTAAGTAAGAAGACAAAGTAGTCTACCTAGCCAAGCTCTACATTAGAATTGTGGATCTCGGGTTACCTTTGCCCAGAATAATATCGCTCCATTTAAGTAAAATAATCTTTCTCATTTGAGTGTGTATTTAAGCCCATTTTCTTTTTCTCCCCTGACCAGCTAAAGCATATGGCTGTGCGAAGCTTTGCCAGCTGTTTTGTTTTAATGCTGTTTTGACTTGTTTTGAGCTCAAAACAGTGAAATTGAAACTAAACAAATGACAGCCTCGAAATGAAACAAGGCCGGTGAAAATGTTTTGAGTTTTGAAGCAGCATCCAGGTGGTGGGAGGCAGGGGAGAGCCACGGCTGCGCTCCGAGCAGCTCCATAGCCACATGTGGCTCAGCCCAGCAGGGAGCGCAGCCCTGGCAGAGCTGATAAGACAGCTGGCTCTGCCTGCCTCCTGACATCAGGCTGTGCTCCTATTGGCTCTGCCAGCCCCATGTTGCTCAGCCCAGTGGTGGAAGGCGGGGCTAAGTTCCACGTGGCTACTCTCCTCCTGCCACCAGGCTGTGTTCCCCAAGGCTGCGAGCTTTGGGGATTTGGGCCTGGTAGGGGGAAGTGCCTCCTGCCACTGGGCTCCATTCCTAGCGCTGGAGAACTAAGCCCAGCTGGGGGAAGCACCTCCCGCTGCTGGGAGGGCTGCAGGGGCTCTGCTGGATTCCTCTCGGGGGTGCGGGCCCCTGATCTGCCTGCTGGATCACAGGATGCTGCTCCTGCTCCCTGGCTTCTGCTTGTCAGCAGCTTGAGGTGTAGTTTCCTAGAAACCCCTACACCTATCTCCTTGGAACGTAGTGGGCTTCATGCCCTCAGAAGGGGCTACGATCCTTGCAAGTTTCAGCAGAATTGGGCAAAAAATGATGAAGTTACAGGTTGTTTCATGCTTCCCCATTATAGCCTATGGGCAAAACAGCAAAACATTTTTGATGGAATGGAACAATGCTTTCGAAACTAAACAAAGCACTGTTCTGTCGAAGTGGAACACTGCTGTTTTGCACAACCCTAATTGTGAGCTCTAACCCTCAAGTCGGAGCATTAGCTTCTTTCCTGTATGATTCCTTTATGGCAGATGTTCCAACTGCATTTCTTATGATTTCCTAGTGTCAGACTTGTTTCTTATTTGAGAACCGGTTTAGGAATTCCTGAAGTTGTGATTTTTTTTTTTTTTGTTTTTGTTTTTTTTGTTTTTTTTGTATCTTTCTGAGGTATTTGTCTCTTGCAACCCATATTACAAAATAATCCAGAAATGTTTGCAAAACAAAGCAACGTAAGGAGAAGAATGTTCTTGGTAAGGGCTTTTACACTTCCAAGTGTATCAGTTCATTTTTTATAAGGTGACTTTCCTTAGAATAAATTCAAGAATCAGAATATTTTTATAGAAAACTAGCTAATTACCTGGCAAGAATGGTTGGGGGGGCGGACACTGGAG